TTTTTTTTTTTTTGAGTGATTGTCAGTGGCACTGTATTTCCAATTTTGGTGTCCATATGTTGTTATTACAATAGAAGTAAAATTGATTTTTGTATATTTATTTTGTGACATTGCTGAACTCACTCTTTAGTTCTACGAGGTTTTTTTTTTTTGGTAGATTTCTTGGGATTTACTCTATGCACAATCATGCCATTAGTAAATAGGGATTTTCTTCCTTTCCAATCTATATGCCTTTTATTTCCTTTCCTTCACTTATTGCAGTGACCAGACCATCCAGAACAGTGTTGAAGATGAGCAGTAGGACTAGACGTTCTTGTCTTTTTCCTGATCTTACAGATGAAGTGCTTAGTCTTCCACTGTTAAGTAGCTGTGTAACAACTGTTAGTTGTAGGTTTTTCGTAGATGCCATTTATCAGTTTGAGGAAGTTTCCCTCAAATTGCTGAGATTTTTTTTTTTTTAATGAATGGGTATTAGATTTTGCAAATGCTTTGTCTACATCACTTGATAAATGATTTTCTTCTTTAGCTTGTTGATATGGTGGCAAGTTTTATTGCTTGATTTTTCAAATGGTGAGCCAGCTTTCCATCCCTGGAATAAACTTCACTTGGTCATAATGTATAATTCTTTACATATATTGCTGAATTCTATTTGTATTTTGTTAAGGAATTTTTCTGTGTATCCATAGAGATATTTGTCTGTAGTTTTCTTTTTTGAAGGAACTGTCTTATCCTGTTTTGATGTCAGGATAATACTAGCTTTATAAAATGAATTGGAAAGTATTCTCTCCTATTTTCTGGAAGAGAAATGTATGGAATGATATTCTGTAGATGTTCGGTAGCACTCTTCAGTGAAATAATCTGAGCCTAGAGATTTCTTTTTTCATAGTTTTAAAATAATGAATTCAGTTTCCTTAATAGTTATAGGGTTATTCAAATTATCTCTTTGAAATTGAATAAATTATGATAGTACCCGCTCAACCCCAAGGGAAGTGGTCTATTTTGTCTTAGTTGTCAAATTTATGTGTATAGAGTTGTTCATAGCTTTTTCTTATTATCTCTTGATGTCTGCAGCCTCTGTAGTGATAACCCTTGTTCCATTTCTGGTATTGTTAATTTGTGTTATCTTTTCTTTTTTCTTTTTTAGTCTTGGTAGCAATTTGTCGGTTTTATTGATCTTTTCAAAGGATCAGTTCTTTCTTTCATTAATTCAGTTCAGTGATTTCTGCTATTTATTAATTTATTTCCTTTTGCTTTGGGTTTATTTTACTTCTTTTCTAAATTTTTAAGGTGGGAGATTAATCTGGTTAGTGATTTGAAACTTTCCCTCTTTTAGATGTATGCATTTGGTGCTATAATTTTTTCTGAGTACTGTTTTGGCTTTGTCCCACAAATTTTGATATGCTGTGTTCTCATTTAGTTTATTGTATTTTCTTAATTTACCTTGAGACTTCCTTTTGCCCTTAGTTATTTAGTAGTATGTTGTTTAGTTTCAAAGTGTTTGGTGTTTTCTGCCATCTTTTTCTTATTAATTCAAGTTTGATTGCGTTGTGGTCAGAAACATCTGATTTCAATTCTTTTAAATTTTTTGAGGTTTCTTTTAGGTCTTAGCTTATGTTTATTTTGTATATCTTCTGTGGGCACTTGAAAAGAATGTGTATTTTGTTGTTGTTGGGTTAAATGTTCTATAAATATTGATTAGGTCATGTTGGTAGTGGTGTTTTTTTCTATATCTTTGATTTTCTATGAAGCTATTCAGCCAGTTGTTGAGAGAGCAGATTTTTAAAGTCTTAACTATAATTGTGGATTTGTATACTTTGGTTGGTT